GAGAGGAGAGGAGAGGAGAGGAGAGGAGAGGAGAGGAGAGGGAGTTGAAGGAGCAGATAGAGACAGAAACAGACTGAGACTCTTCAGAAGGTTGCACTTACACTCAAGCAGTTTTTCCAGAAACAAGGAACACAATAGTTCATATTTTTGTAGTGTCAACTTGTAGACTGAAATGCAGCAAAGAACTTCTTGACAAGAAAGATGTTAAAAGTATTCCTGGATATATATTCAGTATGATCCTTTGTTCTAGGTATGAGCTTTCCTTTTTTTAAAGTTCTTCAGTTTCATTGAAGAAAAGAGAAATTGAATATTTTGAGATTTTTCATGTTCTTTTTCAGAACATCTCCCATGAGAAAGTATCACGACCGCTCAACACTCCTGAAATTCAATGAAAATCCACTCCAGTTTTCATCAAGGTAGTATACTGTTCAGGCCCCCAAATTTGTGCTTTCATAGTCACCATTAATCAAATAGCCAGAAACACCATTTTTAGCCAAACTATATTTTGTGGACTGAAAATGCGCTGTGTTTAAAATCTGCGTTCCTTTTTGCAGTCATCGCTGTTATTCACGGGTCTTAAGAGTCGCTGGCTTTTGTCAAGGGTAGGCTCTGGAGTGCCTGTACCGGGGCGGCAGGTTTTCAGGGATTTCGGTCACTTTCTCTCCAGAAACGTAGTCTGCCGCCCATGGCGGAAGGGAAAGGACCAGGGAGTGATAAGAAAAAAGTAAGTGAACAACATGGAGAGAGAGAGAGGGCGCCCGGGTGGGTCCCCAAGTCACAGTGGCTTCGCGATTTGCACTAGTTTATCACCACTATTAACAGCTACTTGCAGAAGGTTGTTTACCGCCAGAGCTCCCAACAATCAGACCAAGAAGCCCACTCTGAGACTCCAACCACGCCCCCTCCCCCTTCATCTCCACCCCCCTAATGAATTTGGGGCCGCCTTTCTGTTGGACCCTCCCATTGGCTCCTATCCCAACCAATCAGAGCCTTGGAACAGTTTCACCTGGCTCCTGGTTCCCAAATAAACAAACAAACCGTCCCGCTACAGTTCCAGTTCTGCTCTAGAGCTCTGCTGGCGCCTCACCCCCTGCTGCCACCTCTTGCCCCCTCCAGCCAATCCAGCTCCAAGTCTGGGGCCCGCGCCAGTTCCTGAAGGCTGCCCACTCTGTCCTCCGCCCCTGCTGGCCTTTTTCGGCCACTCCAGCCTTCACCGATTTCTTGTTAGGATCCTAGTGAACGGCCCCGCCTCCTTCCATCAGTTTCCCTTGGCTCACAGGCCCTGGGGTTCACCCTAAGGGTCTCTGCTGAGTTTGAGGCAGCCCCACCTCCTGGGCCCTCTGCCTCCTCCCTCGCACACCTCTGCTGTGGGGCTCTCGCGCCTGTCCATTGCTCCTCTAGCTGGATCGGCAGCAGCCGCCGCGTGAGGCGGCGGTCACGTGTTGTTTTGCCAGCCACCGCGGGCTCGGAGTAAAGTGGGCGGGGGCGCGGGCTGAGGCAGGAGGGGTTGGGGCGGGCAGACAGGGTAGTCGCCTTCTTCCCCAGCCCTCCCTTCTCCGAGCGCCCCCTCCCCTTCGCTCACCTTAAAACCACCGTGCATCACCATGGCGAGTTGCTCCTTCGCTCGCGACCAAGCGACAAGGAGACTCAGAGCTGCAGCAGCAGCGGCAGCGGCAGCTCTAACAGCGGTGGAGACCACCCCGCTTCTTTCCTCGGGAACCTCAACCGCACTCATTGGGACCGGGTCGTCTTGTCCGGGAGCCATGTGGCTCTCCACCGCCACTGGCTCCCGGTCAGACTCCGAATCCGAAGAAGAGGACCTCCCCGTCGGGGACGAAGTCTGCAAACGCGGCTACTTGCGGAAACAGAAGCATGGACACAGGCGCTACTTCGTGCTCAAACTCGAGACCGCTGACGCACCAGCTCGTTTGGAATACTACGAAAATGCTCGGAAGTTCCGGCACAGTGTCCGCGCGGCAGCGGCTGCTGCCGCGGCGGCTGCCTCTGGTACCGCGGTGCCCGCTCTCATCCCACCGAGGCGGGTGATCAACTTGTACCAATGTTTCTCCGTGAGCCAGAGAGCTGATGCAAGGTACCGACACCTCATTGCTCTTTTCACCCAGAACGAGTACTTCGCGATGGTGGCCGAGAACGAGTCGGAGCAAGAAAGCTGGTACTTGCTGCTCAGCCGCCTCATCCTCGAGAGCAAGCGTCGCCGCTGCGGCACGCTGGGCGCGCAGCCGGACGGAGAGCCGGGCGCGCTGGCGGCTGCAGCGGCGGTGGAGCCACCCTTCTATAAAGATGTGTGGCAGGTAGTAGTCAAACCCAGGGGGCTGGGGCACAGAAAAGAGCTGAGCGGTGTGTTCCGGCTGTGTCTCACTGACGAAGAGGTCGTGTTTGTGAGGCTGAACACCGAAGTAGCCAGCGTGGTCGTCCAGCTCCTGAGCATCCGCCGCTGCGGGCACTCGGAACAGTATTTCTTCTTGGAAGTTGGCAGGTCTACTGTTATCGGTCCAGGGGAACTATGGATGCAGGTCGATGACAGTGTAGTTGCCCAAAACATGCACGAGCTGTTTTTGGAGAAGATGAGAGCCTTGTGTGCAGACGAATACAGAGCCCGCTGCCGCAGCTACAGCATCAACATTGGCGCCCACCTGTTAAACCTGCTGTCCGCTAGGAGGCACCTAGGCTTTCTGCCGCTGGAGCCTGGCGGCTGGCTCCGAAGGTCTCGCTTTGAGCAGTTTTGCCACCTCAGGGCCATCGCTGATGGGGAAGAGGAGATGCTCTTCACCAGGCGCTTCATAACACCCAGCGAGCCCGTGCCTCCCTCCAGGCATAGAAGGCTGCAGCAGCCCAGACCACGCAGGTCCAGGAGAGCAATTTCAGTGCCAGCCAGCTTTTTTCACCGCTTAGCGTCGAGCCCGGTACGTTCTCCTCACCCTGAAGAATCCCCCAAGGACGGAGCTAGTGAAGGCTCAGGCTCCAGCCCCGGAAACTCTAGCGAAAAGGGCAAAGAGAGCAAAGAGAGTCAGGAAGGAAGCGGAGGTGACTACATGCCCATGAACAAGTGGGGTTCAGGAAATGGACGGGGCCCTGGAGGTGGCCAGGGCGCGAGTGGCCAAGGCTCCAGTAACCAGAGTTCAGGGGGAAACCAGTACTCCAGCGGAAGGCAGGGATCTGCAGGAGGCCAGGGCGCAAGTAGTGGTGCAGGCTCTGGAGGTCAGGGCTCAAGAAGTCAAGGTGCTGGAGGAAATCAGTCCCCAGGAGATAGCCAGGGAACCACAGGTGCCCATGGCTCAGACTATGGCCAGAGACCTGGAGGTAGGCATGGCTTAGGTGGTGGCCAGGAACTGGGAGATGGCCATGGCTCAGGTGCTGGCAAGAACTCAGGAGGGAGCAAAAGTTCAGGAAGTGGGAAAGGCATTGATGGCGATGGTGACCGTGGAAAACCTCTGAAAAAAAGATCCTATTTTGGCAAATTAACTCAAGGCAAGCAACAGCAAATGGGGCTTCCTCCCCCCCCACCACCACCACCCCCAATAGCTGGACCATCTAATGGAAAAGGCAAGTCTGCAGGAAGGTTCCGACTTTATTTTTGTGCTGATAGAGGAGCCACAAAAGAGCGCAAAGAGTCCAAAGAGATGAGAGATATAGAGGCTCCTGGAGGTGCACCTCGGTGGTCCCACAGAGCCAGAGCTTTTGATGATGATGAGGATGATCCATATGTGCCAATGAGACCAGGGGTGGCTGCCCCTCTCACAAGCTCCAGCGACTACATGCCAATGGCTCCTCAAAATGTCTCTACTTCACAAAAGCGCCACTCTCGGTCACCATTTGAAGATTCAAAAGGATACATGATGATGTTTCCCAGAGTGAGTCCGCCACCTGCCCAGAGTGCTCCCAAAATGCCTGATCCTGACAAACAGGATGACTCAAAGGATGATAGCGACGGTGACTACATGTTCATGGCTCCAGGAGCTGGTGCAATTCCCAAAAACCCGAGAAATCTTCAGGGCGGCTCCTCCTCCAAAAGTTGGAGCTCCTACTTCTCTCTGCCTAATCCTTTTCAGAGCTCACCCTTGGGACAAAGTGACCACAGTGAGTATGTACCAATGTTACCTGGAAAATTACTGGGGAGGGACCTGGACAAAGAAGGTTCATCAAACTGGGGTTTCAAAGATAGAGCTTCAAAGCCTATTCTTGAGGGATCATTCTCAAAGCCTGGAGATGGTAGATCACCTTCAAAGCCTTCAGATGATGGGCCCCCAAAGAATAAGGCTAAGAGACCTAACCGACTGTCTTTTATTACAAAAGGAAATAAAATCAAGCCCAAACCACAAAAGCCCACACAAAAACAGAGAGAAGCTGACAGCTCTAGTGGTTATGTCAACATTGACTTCACTAAAAGAGATAGCAGTATGCCAGCCCCCTCTGCTCAAGGACTGCCACATTCATTGGGCATAATTGCTGACTGCAGACTGTCAGCCTTTTCTAATTATATGAATGTTGAATTCAGAGTGTCATTTCCAAATCCAGCAAGCCACCTCTCAGATCTTTTAAGAGCTATCCCAAATGCTAACCCCTTATCTCTGGAAGGTGCTAGGTGGCCATGTCCTCCTCTTCCTCCCATAGCTACAGGTAGCAATGGTAATGTGGAAGAGAGTGACTACATTGAAGTAATTTTCAACCCAGCAATGACACCAGCCCTGCCTTTTCCTGACAGTACCATTCGCTATGATGCTGAAACAGGTCGAATCTTTGTGGTCGACCCATTTTCTGAATGCTGTATGGACATTTCTCTCTCCCCTAGCAGATCCTCTGAACCACCACTTCTAGCCAGGCTGCTGCAGGAAGAGGAGCAAGAGACAAGACGCTCACAAAGCCGTTCACAAAGTTTCTTTGCAGCCGCCAGAGCAGCTATTTCGGCTTTCCCGACTGATAACCCCCAAAGAGAAATTTCCAATGCCCCCTCCTCAGCTGCAGCACTAGCAACTGCGCCAACCGTAGGGTTAGGCCGGGTGTTAGCTGCGGCCTCTGCGCTCCAAGTGGCCCCGGGCTTAGGCGCAGCCGCCGCGGATTTACAGACTGCGGCTGGGTTTAACTCCACCTCCACCCACTGTTTCCAACCTGTTGCTAATGCTGCTGATATGCAGGCAGTAAGGGAGGCCCTGGACAATGCCGCTGGCTCTAATCTTAGAGTCCCGAATCCAGCTGCAGATCTTGCCAGAGGTGAGAATGCAGCTGGTGGGGTTGATGCTGCAGCTGAGGCTCCACCACCTCCACCGCGCCACCGTTGGGTGCCGAGACCTCCTGAGACAGACAAGTCCGAAGACGACAATGACGACACTGACAACACTTATGTGAGAATGGACTTTGCCAGACCTGACAACAAGGAGTTTCACTCTCAGAAAAGAGGTTAGTAATTTTAGAATTAAATTCCCTAAAGTTAGTGGTCAGTGGTTCACGAGAGTGAATGCGGTGTCTAAACTGTTAGGGATAAGTGAGGGAGTATTTACTTAGTGCTAGAAGTCAGTTTTCATTATTTACACTTTAGTTTTTTGAGCTTTGTAAAAAACCTACGCTTTTATTCAATGATAAATTTATCTGGATAAAACCAATTATCGTTTAATCATATGCTCTACTTCTTGGGAATAATGAAAACTAAAAGATATTGCACAGGGAGAACTTTCAGACATGCTTCCCCTGCACTAAGTGATCATGCAAAGCAGGATGTCTCAAATTAAGTTCCATCAACCATTTTCAAGTCGTTGAGTAAAAACTGCTTTCTAACAGATGCCTCTGCTGTATTTAAGTCGTGAAGTTGAATAAGAGCACAGAATATTAAGCAGTAAAAGTTAACTATAAGTGTTAACTTACTTTTTAAAAGCTGTCATTGTTATGCTAGTTTGCTGTAATTTACTGAAAAGGTTAAATTTCAATTGTTAGCTTGAATGGGAAGGGCAGTGGAAAAGGACCAAACATAAATAATTCAAAACAGCAGATGATTGATAAAAAGATGGTATTTGCTCTGGAATGTGTTTTTATGTTGATCTTTTTTGTTTGTTTTTGCACAGGATAAATTGTGAGAAACTGAATGTCCCTTTTCCCTGTCACTGGTAGGAGCAGGCCAGTCACATTTGCTCTGCCTCATTTTCTTCTTTTAACCTGCCACACTTTCAAAAGAGGGTGTGGTGACAATTTGATAATGGATATGAATATTGTTTCAAAGCTTTAAAAAGCATTTAGAACATCTAATTAGTGTGCTCTAGGAAAAAATAAGCAATGCCAGATAATAAGTCTAGAGGAAGACCTGACCCAGGGACACCTTAACCTGGATCAGTGGGAGGTTTTAAAGGGCTAATTTTCCTAAGGAAGAGTCTGCGCACAATGTGGCATGATGTTGTCTTGAATCATTCTTAAAAGATGACTGCAGAAGATTATGCCTCCATAGTCTCAACTGTTTGCCCTGTGTAAGTAGGAAAGGGATGGACCCCAGCAGTTTTCATTCCAGTAGTCACTTTAGTAGAGATTTTTGCTTTGCTTACTTTGTGGAATGCTTTTGTGATCGGATCTCTGCCCACTGTGCTTGATCAGGCAGGACAATTAGGAGACTGATCACAACAGTCACCCTAACAAGCTCCCTATTTAGTGCAGGTGTAGCCCCCCCACCTCCTCTTTCTGCCCGTGCCTATAGAAAACTTGCTATACAAAAACGCGCATTTGCAGCACAGACACATTAAAAGAGTGATCATTAAAAGGACAAAAAGACGCTTTGGCATGCCAAAGGATTCGATTCAGATGTCCACGGAATTGTGAGCCTCCTCCCCAACACATGGGCTAGCACGCACATGCCATCTACTCCCACATGCACACAATCACCACTACTGCCTTAATCCTGCATTTCAAATTTGTAATTCCATTTCCAAAAGCTTAATTCATGACCAGCTTCTCAGAAACAAGTCTAATTTATTCTGTGAAGTATACCTGAAAATTAGCCTCAAGCTATTGTTCCAGTCTAACAGCTGCTAAGAGAAAGCCCTTACAACTTTGATGTGAAATTACATATTGAAATAGATGCTACATCACACCGACTGCCTGGTTCCTGCAGTACTTTCTTCTTGTTGTTGTTCTCATTGCTTTTTGTTATCAGGAATCCAACTTAGAACCTTACACTTACCTGGAAGCCAGTCAGACACTTGTAGCTCAATTGCACCTGCCCTACTTTGTAAAGCATGACTTTTTATACTTTGCCTATACTTTCCAATACTCCAATCATTGTTTAAGCAAGGATTTTAAATAGTGAAATGTCACTGTTTAGTATACCCCAACTTCCTGAGGATTAAGATTCAGTAATCGTTATGTTCACATATATTACTGATTTATGACTTTCTGGATATTTTGCAGAATTGATATGCTCTCAGTGTATTGTTTGTTGAGGAAATTCCTGACGTTATTGACTGATTACAACAAGGAGGCTATATCTCAAAGGGAGGCACGTGCTTAGGTTGAAATAAAAGAATGAATGCACTTTGGGATGTGAAAGCATTTTTCAAATGTTTCATATTTTACATATTTTATCATGTAATTTTATTAATGTAAAAATGAAATTTCAACTAGTTAAACTGATAACAATTTCTTACAAAATATTTGGTGTTGAAGGTGATTCTTGTACATAGTTTGAGAGATGTGTGGAAGGAATGGCAGGGGAGGGATGTGATGGTGAAACAATTCACTGCAGGAAATGACTTTGGTTAGCATTTTAATGTGAATTAATACACATTAATTCTTTGAAGTGTGAAGTACAGGCTGACTAGTTAATCTCAGTCTCTCTTCATATTCCTATTTAACATTTATAAAATGAGATCATATTAAAGAAACAAAAATGCTTTAGAAGAACAGAGGCAAAAATATTAAGAGTTATGTATTTGAAACAGTAATTTTAATTCATGGAAAGTGCTTAGAACCGCTTAGTACATTATAAATGAATTATCAGGTCACTGTTTTATTCGTATTATATTTAGAAGCACAAAATTAAATTAAAATTTTTCATGCTGAAATCCTGTATTTCAGTCACTGTATTAAAATACTGCATGGGTTTCCTCAGAGTGAAGATCTTTATATTTAATAATTTAAGTGATTATGTTACTGAGAGAATTTTCATACATAGATAAAATCTCATTTATCTACATAAAAGCACATTTGTTTTAGTCAACGGAAATGTAACTTTGACATGACATTTTAATAAATGAAATGCTTTTAAAGCATTTACTGAGGATGAAGTTTTCACATTTTATAAGTGAATGTTAGATACTAACATTTAGGAAGAAAACATAATTTCTTAAATGTTTTTTATTCTGGCTCCTAACCCATGAATGACTTTTTGCTTCTTTTGTTACTTTACCTAATGTAGAACTGGTAGTTTGAAATGATTCGAGGAGAAAAATTACCTGACATTTTTTTCAAGAGATAGGAGGATGAAAGGGCAGCCGAGACAAACATCATCCAAATTACTTATGTCATGAAACCCCTCGGTATTCAAAAGAAAAAAATTAACTTTTGAAATTTTAAGCACTGGAATCTCCATGTAGGAAACCTAATTTTCTTTCAGGTTTACCACTGCCAAAATCATGTTACTATAAATTATAGGTACTATGAGCAATTTTTTATTAACTTCCTTTTATAAATTGCTAGAAGAAAAATCTCCATATAGGAAAGATTTTTTTTTGGCAGTACCAGAGATTGAACTCAGGACCCTGAGCTTGCCAGGTAGGTGCTTATTCTATTGAGCTAGCTTCCTGGCCCTTAGGAGAGATTTTCTAACCATCATTGATGGGTCACTTTTTTTAGGTAGCATTCAATCTCCCAAATTTGGGTAGTCCTTTGGAGTAATGAAACATTTGACCTATAATAATTAAAAGGGACCTTATACAATTAAAGGTAGCTGAGGTTGTTGGCATGCATTCATTTGTATTTTATTCCGTGCTTGAGTACTGCTTGCAGGATAAAAAATTTGTCCACTAACACATGTGCTTTAAACAAGGGCCACTAGTGTAATATCTACTTCAAAAGAAGGACCAAGACTTTCAACACATCAGAATATGACACATGCATAAGAACTCAAACAGGATCTCTTGCTTTCTTTTCCCATCCTCAATTGCCAAACATGAACCAAAATACTTCCGAGTCATTGGCAGAGAACTGTTTTTGGAACTAGTTTAGGCTTCTAAAATATTTCATGTTTGAACAGATGCAGCTGGATAACACAGGTAAAAGTAAGGGACCGTGTGTATAATTACAATGCACTATTGTAGAGTCAGATATGGTGGCACATGCCTATAATCACAGCACACGGAAGGCCAGCGCAGGAGGATCACTGCAATTTTGAAGCCAACATGGTGTACATAAGGAGTTCAAGGCCAGCCTAATCTACACACAAGACCCTGTCTCAAAAAGAAAGAAACAAAATGCACTTTTGTCAAATTGTCAACTTGTTGATTGAGGGAATGCTTTTCAGTTACAGATCGCTGTATAGTTTGCAAAGTACTTCACATTCATTATTTTACTGATAGATGGTAAGTACTGGAAATGAAGCCTGTGTTAAGAATTTGTAATCAAAAAGGTAAGTGACAAAGCTGCAAATATAACTCATACATCTGATATAAAATCCATCATTCCATCTCATGTATCATACTTCCCTTTAATGAGGTGATTAATCTGTTATTCTTTATATTGATGAAAGATTATGTAGGAAAATTATAGGTTCATGTGTTTTTTACAGCAGCAAATTTGGTTGTAATTCATGTTATAACTGTGTCCATCTGCCAGGATTTGGGTGGGTAATTTTTATTACATTGAACTATTTGCTATGGCCCTTACGAGATAATTTTATGTGTGCTCAAATCAAGTGCTTTCAATCTGAGGAGGAGTTAGATAATCTTTAGCTCATAAACACAAATACTACATATATCCATTTAAATTCCTCAGGAACATTGAAAGGAGTAAAATTGATTGAGTGTGCACCAAGTAACCTGTTAATGGTAACTTTCATAACTAAAGTTAGATTTCAATGGTTTTTCTTAATGCACCAATGACAATTGCCAGCTTATAGCAAAAATTCTTTTCATTTCTTTCTGTGCAGGATCTGTTTTCTAATCTAAACAGTCTCAGTGAAAAGAACAGCCTAAAAAGAATGACAGGTAGAAGAAAAAGGGTTATGGAAATAGGTATTTTTCATCTGTTCAAAAAGGAAATGGATACAACCAGAGACCCTACTTATAAGTGAAATAAATCACACCCACATGTGTAAACATCATATAGTCTACCTAGTGTAAGAACTTGAAAGAGTAAATAAAATCCAAAAGGTACAATAGATACTGTGAAAAAGGAAAGACACTGTTCAAAGGGAAGGTATTACTGGGAT